TGTGGCTGAGTCCACTGCTGGCCCCACCTCCCGGCCCGTTGGGCACAGGGGTCCCAGCCAGGAAGTTTGGCCAGGCAGGCTCTCCACCCGAGTCTCTCCTCCTGACGAGTGGGGGGGCCGGGTCGGAGGGGGCCGCACAGACCAGCCCGGCCCAGGACAGCCGGCAGCCCAGCTGCGTGGGCGCTGGCACTGGCCCTGGGAGAGTGGACCAGGCCCTGCCCCACCCCTGGGCCCCACCCCGCCGTCCTCTCCCAGCGACTGCGCGGGCTCTGAGGTCTCCGTGGGGTGGGGTGCTCAGGGGAGCCCGACCCTCAGTAATCCCACATGGGCTGCACCCCCACCCCAGCAGGTGGCTGGGGCAGCCTCCTCAGCACTTCCCAGACGTCCCACAGCACCGCCGACGCGCCTCGCTTTCTCATCGGTAAACTGGGGGCCTCAGAGGTGTGGAGAGCAGAGAGGGTGCGGGCTGGTGCCACCGAGAAGGCGCCAGGCCCTTCCTGGGGCACATGGGGGACCCGTGGTCTCCCCGCAGGCCCGGGCCCAGCACCCGGACGGCGGTCTCGCACCACAGCCCTGACCCCATCGCGTTTGTCTCGGTCCCCAGGACGAAATGGAAGCGGCAGACGGCGGTGGGCCTGGAGCTGCTGGCCGAGGCCGGCAACTACTCGGCGCTGCAGCGGATGTTCCCGGCGCCCTATTTCTACCCGCAGAGCCTGGTCTCCAACCTGGACCCCGGCGCCGCGCTCTATCTGTACCGCGGGCCCAGCGCGCCGCCGCCCGCCCTGCAGCGGCCCCTGGTGCCCCGCATCCTCATCCACGGACTCCAGGGCGCCAGCGAGCCGCCCCCGCCGCTGCCCCCGCTGGCCGGCGTCCTCCCGCGCGCCGCGCAGCCTCGGTGAAGCGCCCGCCCGCCCGCCTCTCGGCTGGCGCGAGGTTTCGCCCTCCCTTCCCGGGCCCCCTGTCCGGTCCTCCCTGGCGCCCCAGCCCAGTGCTCCCCGAAGGGTCAGATGCCAAGCCCACTGCGGCCCGGGCCCCGCACTGAGCCTCCCGAACCCTCCGCGGCGCCTTTCTCCCGCCGCCCCAGCCGGAGCCGCTCCCACCGCCGGATGTTCATAGACTAGCGCCCCGCAGGCCCCCCAGGCGCCCCCCCCAGCAGGTGGGGGCGACCCTCCCCCACGCCCCGTCCGCACTCCAGCCGCGCACCCAGCCCTTTCCCGCCGCCCCCGACGGCCGAGGCGAGCGGGAGCGCCCCGCTCCCAGCACCGGGCAGGGGAGCTGTACATACCGTGTGCAAAGTGTATATGAAGTTATTTATTCGTGACCCATGAGCCCGTGACCGTGTCCGTGAATCAGTGAGTCCGTGGCCTGTGTCCAGCCCCTCCCGGGAGGGGCAGGAAGAAGCCACGGGGCCTGCCCACCCACCTTGACCCCCAGCCCCCAAGTCCAGCTGCCCGCCCCGGGCAGCCAGACCCCTGGGGTTCTCTCTTTTTTAAATGTGGAAATAAACTTCTTACAAAGACCAGGCGCCGCCGCCGCCGCCCCGCCGCGTGGGTCAGTCCGTGCGCAGCCGCGTCCCAGCCCCAGGCCCACCCTCCCCTGCGGTCACTGGCTCCTGCCAACTCCCAAGGGAGGTGCGCGTGCCCCTCTCTCCCTTACCCCTGTGGGCAGGGGCCCGAGGGGGCTTGCTGGGTGTGGGCAGGGGTCTCCCTTCCCTGGCCTCAGTCTTCCTGCTTTCGCAGTGCGGCCGCCGGCGTCTCGGCCTCCCCCTCCCTCTCCATCTGGCTCCTCGCGGTTCCCGCGGGTCCCCGCCTGTGGGGTGGGGTGGCTGGCGGGGTTCAGCGCCCGGGCTCCCTCGGCTGCGGCCGGGCCGCGGTGCCCTCCCTGAGCCGGCTCATCTGGCCGTAACAAGGGCGCCGGCAGCTGGTGACCGGCCGGGAGTGAGCAGCCGACAGATGGACTCCGAGGCTACTCGCCCCCACTCCCCTCCGCCCGGGGCCGGGGTTCGGGCCTTCGCAGGTCCACCGCACCAGGTGGGACTTGACGACTCTTCTGCAAACGCGACACCTCCGGTGGCCCCCACTCCCTCCCGCACCTTCCTGCGTCCCCCTGGCCCGGGCTTAGGTGGGGGACCAGCGGCAGGACAAATGCTGAGGGCCGGGCGGCGGCTCGGCCGGGAGGGGCGTTTCCAGCCAGGCCGGAGGCCGCGCCTTCAGGCTCACAGGGCTAGGGCCACCTCCCGCGGCGGCCGCCCCAGGTGGCACAGGGGGCCCTCCCACACACCACCTGCAGCTGAGGCGCCGGGTGGGAAGACCGGCCAGCCAGGGGTTGGGGGCCCTCCAGTTTTGTGGGGTGGGGCTGCTCTGGTCGAGGGGCAGGGGCCACCCCTGAACTCTACCGTCCCACCCAAAACAGGCCCAGCTACAGTTTCGGCCCTGCCCCCACCCCCACCCCACCGCCTTTCTTTCCGGGATGGTGCGGGTATTATTCTAATTTTGCAAAATGCACAGCAGCTAATTAAGTCAAGCAGCCCCTCGGCTTTCGAGTTCTTTTGCATGTGAATGGGGGTTAGTAAATCCCCAGCTCTGGCTGTGGTGGGGGGCGAGGGGGACGGTCCCCAACTCAGGGTTAATGAAGTGGGAAGGGAGTCTCTCAGAGTCTCCTGCAAACAAAACCCCTATGCAACAAACCCAGCCCAAATCCTACATGGATTGACTTAAACCCAGGGGATAAGTGCTTTAAATTAATCTCATTGAATAAGAATGAGACCAAACAAAACTCTTTAAAATCATATTAAAAATCTATCAAAGGACAACTTGCACTGGTGTGCTTTTCATTTTGTGAAAGTGAAGGAGGGAGCCCGGGGCAACCGCCCTTACGTTTACACAGCGCAGCGCAAATCACAGACACATTCTCAACTATGTAATTGTCCTTGTACCTCCAAGGCGACTTCATATCTTACATTAATGAAGAACAAGGCTTCCCTACAAGTTTATAATTACGATATTTTAAATTGTCCTGCACTTCCCGTCTGCAATAATAACTTCGCAACCTTTGCGGCGAGGTGGGCTGCTCCCTCCATCCCTTTAGAAGGCTAAATTGGCTTCCCGTTCCCAGCCTCGGGGCCGGGCGCGCTCCCATTGAAACAGAAAAGAATGACTGTGGAGACCCCAAGCAGGCAGCACAAAAGGAGAGGCACCACCTCTCCCCCCCTGCACCCCAGCGCGCCTCCCCCACCCCATAAATCTAGACTCAATGGGGCAGAGCTACAAAGTTAAAAGGCAGCTTAGATGTCCCGAAGAGCTTTAATGCGGGTCTCCTGGAGATCTGAGTGGCCGGCGCAGGCCTTGCTGTGGCCCTGGGGTGCGGTGTGGTGCGGTGCCAGGCGGCAGGTCCGGCCCGCCCACAGGCCCGCGGGCCGCCAGCCTGGGAGGCGCTCTTTTCAAGCTGGCGTCGCCCCCAGAGCAAAAGCCTCCAGGCTGCCACAGTGGGAGTTTGGTGGTTTCCACTGACTTCCCGGGCTGAAGTGCTAGAGAGCAAGGCCTCTGGGCTCACACCTGCCCGAAGGGGCCATGGTCCCAAAGCCAGCCTCCCAGCTGGAGGGCTACAGGAAGAGAAGGCACCAGAACCCAACGAGCTTTGTTTGTCAGTTGGAGAACTGGGGCCCCGGTGGTATCTCTCAGCCTGGAAGATGCCACTTGCGTGTGTCAACGCCGAGCTGGCCACCTGCCAAGGACTCGCTGCCCGTTGGTGCCAGGGGGCTGGGGGAGCCCCGAGAAGGTGCAACTGCAGGGCGCGGCTCCCCCACACTGTCGGCCGGGTGCCAGAACACCACCCCACCCGCAGAAGGGAAGGTCCCTGGACAGCCATGTTCCCTGCAACGTCCAGGTTCTGGACTTGACACACGGGACTCAGGCCTATGACTTAAGTTTGGGGAGTCGGAAAGAAAAAGAGGCCTGATTAGAGGCACACTCCAGAGTAGAATGCACAGTGGGATGGGCTGAAGCTTTGCCTGACTGAAGCCTGAGATCATGACTGTCAAGAGCCATCATCAGAGATCATTTTAAGGTTGTTCAGATTCAGAGAATATTAACCCTAAGTGCGCTAAGCCTGTGTGTCCACTGGTTCCTAGATGGGCAGACGCTGCCCAAAGTGTAGGAGGTGCTCTGACCCCCAGTGGCAGCCCCTCACCACTGGCAGGGGCCAGCTCCCAGGAGCACGTTAAGGAATGTGCCCGGGGGAGGGAGGGGGCGCCTCTTTGATCTTCCCTCACTGGCATTAACCCTGCTTCCCATGCAGCTGGGTCTAGTCTGTAAGTGTGAACCCTCCTTTCCTCCTCCAAAGCCAAGCGGCCATCGTGGGGGCAGCGTGGCCTGTGTGCAGGTTTCCTAGGGCTGCTGTCCCGGGCTCCTGGACGTCCTGCTCAGCCGTGTCACAGTCACTCCCTCTCCTGGCTGCTCAGCTCACGGGGTCTCCTACAAGGGGGACCCTCCCCCCACCCATAGTGAGAGGCAGGCAGAGGGGCGAGACCAGCAGGTGGGGCAGACAGAGGTGGGGGCCTCCGCCCCACTCCTCTGGACCCTCTGGAATGACCCGTGTCCAGATCTTACATTTATTGGAAAATCAATATGCCCCAGGGGTCCTCTTGCAAATCTCCCAGAAAACACAATGGAGGAGGGGCTGCCCGGCCTGGGCCTGGGCCTGGGCCTCCATACAAAGGCCCCTGACCTCTCTGGAACACAAGCTGGGGGCACTGGTGCCTTTCGACTTCAAAGGCAAACAGTAAAAAGGCAGCAGTGCAGCAATTGGCCCTGGGAGAGGAAGCTTCTGGAGGCCGAGAGAGCTGTGCCAGGCCAGCAAAGGGGGCAGCAGAGGGCCAGAGGGCCCGAGGGCAGCGTGTGGGGTCGGGGCTCACCTGGAGGAGTGGCCCACAACGACAAAGTATCTGTGTGTCAGGAAAACGACTTGACAAGTATTTTTTCTCTTTTACAAATTCAACTGCATGTTTTAAAATCCTGTTTTATAAAATTCATGCCAAGATAAGTGTTGATGAGCTCAAGCAAAACCGAAGCGTCTTCAGAGGAGGGCGGGCGCAGTACCTCGGGAGACGGGCGCCTGGCAGCCCGAGAGGAGGCAGGGCGGCCCCACACAGGCTGTTCCCTCACTCCTGCGGCGCCCCGGGAAGGCCCTCGGGGTTTGTGTCCAGCGGAGGGCGTGTCCTCTTCCTGCCCAGCCCTGGGCTGCTCTGCGCCGAGGCCGTGGGCACCTCCATCCCACTGGAGTATTCCGACCGCAGGATGTCAGCCAGGCGGGGCTTGCCGCGGGGCTGCTTGTGAAGGTCAGGCCTGGAGAACAGTAACAGCAGAGGGAGAAGAAACTTTATTATTATTTTTCTTTCCCATTTGGGAAGGGGCTGGCAGCAGCTGGTTCCGAGACCGAGGAGCTGACATTTCTGTATTAGCAGAAGCACCCTTCAGCAGTGCTTGTTTTGATATTCCGTGCACCGAAGATTAGATACGGCACTGACAGATTTTCATAACGGTGGCAAAATATCATGGCATTTTTAAAAGTGAGGCTTTGTTCTGTGTTGTTTTCATGGAAGAAAAGAACGCTACACACTCGTACTCTGATGGCAAATGAGGTGTGAGATGTGGCGGTTTGCCGAGGGAATGGGGCGATCGCGGGGCCCAGCGCTCCAGGCGGGGAGGCAGGTCGGCGACCCCCAGGGCCCTAGAGCGTGAGGGCGGGGCTCAGTCTTCTCTGGGGGGAGCGCCTGCACCCACAAAACCCCAGGCTGACGCGTGCTGGGCGGAGAAGTCAATGCGGACCTGGGGCCCGGATCCACGCGAGGGGCCCTCACTGCCCGACCTCCCGGGCACGCAGACCCTGGGAGCCATCCAGGGGCAGTGACCACCACGCGATGGGACGGGAGGAACTTTGTGCAAGTTCAGTCATACACGGGAAAAAAGGTCACGAAAGCTCAAGAGCGCAACGGGCCTGACACAGGGCCTGACGCGCGTGGCGGCCACCAGGAGCAGCTCAGTCACTGCGCGGGGAGAGAAAGCTGAGGCGCGGGGCTAGTCGGCACCAGGCCTGCCACGCGCGGGCGAGGGAGCCGCAGAAGGCGCACGGGGGCTCCGGGCTGCGTGCGGCCCACGGGTCCAGCACCCTCCGGGCCCCAGGGGCAGGTCGGATCACTGCCTGCACAGAGGAGGCTGAGCGGGAGGGCGAGCCAGCAGGACCCTGGGGGCCCACGACCAGGATTTGAGGGTGCGCCCGACCTGGTCTCACAGGAATGTTTTAGGGGAAGGGCGGGGTCGAGCTGAGGAGGAGGGGAGGAGAGGCAAGAGCAGCCTGCAGTGCACCAGGTTCTCTTGTGCCTCAGTTTCCCCATCTGAAAGATGGGCTGAGACTGCCAACAGGGTCTGTGAAGTTCGGGAAGGAGCAAGACAGACACCCAGGGCACAAGCTGCTGTCACTCATGGGGGAAACTGAGGTCCAGGGAGGTGACAAGACTCCCCCAGGGCCACACGGGGCCAAAGCTGACCATGGGCGGCTGGGCCAAGGCTCTGGCGGCTGCCCTGCTCCCACCGGGCTGTGGTGCCAAGCCCCGGCCGGGCCCGGCCCTGAGTCCAGCGTCCTGCGGAGGCCACGCCGGCCGGGCCCAGGTGCTCGGCAGCGGAGCAAGCCTGCCCGGGCGCCGACCTCGCCCCGCTGTGCCGGCCGGCTCCTGTGTCTGCAGCTCATTTTGAGTTGGTTCATGGCCGACAGGGTGAGAAGGTTCTGACAGGGAGGGCTGCTCTTCCTCCCCTCGTGTTTGAAGCCAGGCTCTTGCAATGTGTGTAATTTTAAGTGCAACAACCTGAATTTCAAAATATGCAAAATTTCAGTCAAAATATCCTCCTAGCCTAAGCTCTAGCCACTTCAGTGATCGCTCCCGCTGTTGCTAAAGCACAGAAATATCCAGGCCCTGTGGGGGAGGGCTGACCACAGCTGCCACATATGCCCTTTGGGGGTGGCACCACTCAGTGGGCCTCGTGGGGTCGCCAAGCCAACATGGAAGAACTGGTGCCAGGGAGCGGCCCGGCCCGTGGGCAGATGCACTTGCACTCCTGCCCCCATCCACTTCCTTCCCGAGACACAAGACCTGCCCTCGCCAGACAAACCCAGCTGGACCCGGGTGTGGTGGCGGTGGTGGGCGGGGCAGGAGCCTCTGAGGAGCAGGTCTGGGGGTGGTCCTGCCTGCTCCAGGCTTTGACCTCGAAGTTTCCTAGCTGTTCTGTGATTTCATTCCAGTAGTGAACTTGGCCTGGGGACCTCACTAGCAGGTGGCACTTTCTGCATGCCCAGGTGCTGTTCTGAGCACCTGTTGGGCATGGAACCCATTAAGCCCTCCACCCCTCCGCCCCCTGACACAGGTTCTTGGTCAGGCAGGGATGAGCACAGAGGAGCGGGGTGTGAGGCCGCGACGACTCCGCCCTGTGACCCTTGTGGACTCACGACATGCACGTGCGTTTTTATCAAGTGAGTGGCAGCTCACTGCGGCAGCCCCAGGCAGCCATGCTAACATCACCTCAGGCCTCCAGCCTCTGGGTCTGTGGTGAGGTGTGGCTTAGAGGTAATAACTCAAGCAAAGAGCAGTTAAAAAGAAATCACATGGTACATCAAGTTGAAGAGCTTCTTCTATACAACAAAAGAGACATTACAAAAGTCAGACATCCCACTGATTGGCAAAAAAGTTTCTCACTTAAAACTAGTGATAAAGGATTGATCACAAAGATATACAAAGAACTAATGAAACAACAAAAATAAACAACCCTAACAAAAAATGGGCAAAAGAACTAGAAAGACACTGGTCAAAAGAGGAAATGCAGACGGCCAACAAGCATATGAAAACATGTTCAGCATCACCTGTAATCAGGGAGATGCAAATTAAAGCCACAATGAGATAGCCCCTCACCCCAGTGAGAATGGCACATCTTCAAAAAACTAGCAACAACGAATGTTGGCGAGGATGTGGAGAGAAAGGAACTCTCCTGCACTGATGGTGGGAATGCAAACTAGTACAACCACTATGGAAAACTGTTTGGAGGTTCCTCAAACTGCTACACATGGAGCTTCCCTAGGACCCAGCAACCCCACTCCTGGGTATCTACCCAAAGGACACAACGACACGGAATCAAAAAGATACCTGCACCCCCATGTTTACTGCTGCTTTATTTACAATTGGAAAGACATGGAAACAACCCAAATGCCCAGAAGTAGATGACTGGATTAAAAAGATGTGGTCCATATACACAATGGAATATTACTCAGTAACCAAAAAAAGATAAACTCATGCCTTTTGCAGCCGATGGAGCTGGAAGGGATCATGCTTAGTGAGATAAGCCAGAAAGAAAAGGAAAAATACTGATGGTTTCACTCACAGCAGGAGTACAAAGAAGCAGGGGAGAAAATAATAATAATAATAATGAACAGCCATATACCAGAGACATTTTATGGGGGTGGAGTGGGGAATGGGATCAAAAATGGGGGAGGGGAAGTACACTGGACTATGGTGATGGCACAGGGTGATCTGGTGATGGGAAGCCTACGGGGATTACAACTGAGATGGAAAAAGACACAAAATGATGGAAAAATAAACTATTATTAAAAAAAAAAACAAACATGTGGCCCTTCCCTCGTGGTACAACAGGTTAAAGCGCAGCACTGCAAGCTGGCCACAGCCACTTCAGGGTGAGCTCGATCCCCGCCGTGGAGCTGACCTACCTGGTGCGGCAGCCCTCTCCTGACCCGCCCGCTGCTCCTCTCAGCAGTTGCTTCATCCATCTGCCTGCTCTGCTCCCCGCTCTGTCTCTGGTGAATCCTCTCACCGCCCCTGCACCTCTGGCCTGTACCCCAGTTGTGTATGCATAAATAAATCTTAAAAAATAAAGCAGGTCTCACTCTAGGAGGCCCGTGCCAGGGCGGGCCAACACCTCACCCTGCAGACCACAGGCACTGGCAGGCCGCAGGTGGCCCACGGCCTCGCTGGCTGGAGGGCGTGCTCCCCGGAGGAGAGGAAGCAGCAGCACTCAGAGGGGGGCTGTCTAACCGTGAAGCTGACCCAGATCCGGAATAGGCGGGAGCTCGAGGTCCTTTAGCCCGGCCAGAAGCCTGGAAAGCGGGCCTGCCTGCTTGCACACGGCAGCAAGTAGGCAAGGAGCCCTGCTAGCCGGCCCGGGACGGGCAGCCCTGCTTGGGACCCAGCTCTGCCCTCCCTAGCAATGACCTTGTGGAGTCAACGGCGACTGAGACCCTTCCTCACCTCAGGAAGGACCAGCCGCGCGAGCAGTGGACATGAAGACGGCGCAGCCCGAGCACCCTGCAGTGTTAGGAAGATGAAGAGAGCAGGTGGCCATGGAAACGGTGACTGCAGCCTGCAATGCTGGCCGAGACTGACAAGCTAGGGGCAGCAATCCACACCACTCGCAGGGCTCAGCCGCCGGGTGCCTGTCTGACACCACTGTCAATGACCCGGGCAGGAGTGAGGTGCGTTCATCACGACTGCAGACCCCCGTCTGCAGCACCCCTCCACCCCGGCCAAAGGGTGGCAGGGCTGAACGGTCAAAAGGAGCCTGGACACACGCGGGGTTTGTTCTGGGGTCAAAGATAGATGCCTGAACAGGCAGGGCGCCACTCCCACCTAGGCCACAGGACACAAACACCCCCACCCCAGCTGGGTGAGGCCACCTGGAGCCAAGAGGTGCACGGAACCCGGGGCCCGTCTCGTGGACAGGGGGCACAGTGACGAGAGGCGGGGCCTTGTGCAGGGGCTCAGGGCAGCCCGGCCCCGCTGCCCCGCTAGCCTAGCTGACAGAGGTGCCGCCTGGCTTCTGTGGGGTCCTCTGGGGAGTGTCAGGCATCAGTTCTGACAACAACCTGGGCTGGAGACCAGCCACACAGACTGGGTGGGCAGCAGGAGGTGTGGGTGCTGCAGGGACAAGCCAGGTGGAGCTGGCCTTTCTCAGCAAGGGGCCTGTGCTGCCCGCCAGCCTGCCCGCACTCACGGCCACCCTGGGACACCCCACTGAAGTCAGTGGAATGCCAGAGGGGGGCTGCCCGGCTGCGAGCCCACCCCGCGGTTCTGCTCCCAGCCCAGGAGCAGCCCCGAGTCCCAGCCGGACAGGCCGCAGACGCGCGCCTGCGTCCGCACCTGTGCAGCCAAACGTCCTGGCGTGCGCCTGCCCGGTTCGTGAAGGTGCCACAAAGAAACAGCCTAGAGCGATGTCAACATGCTGGAGTCCACGCGAGGTAACACTGTCACTGGCCCCACACTGGCGCCAGAAAGCAGAGGCCCCCACCA